TATATATATATATATATATATATATATATATATATATATATATATATATATATATATATATATATATATATATATATATATATACATATATATACTGGGTGTCCCAAAAAAAGTACTCCGGTTTGATTCGTAATAACTTCTAAACAAGTAAAGCTTTTAAGGAGAAATAACTTGCATCAAATAGAGGAAGGACCAACTTAGATTTTGATAAATTACAGTTGTATTTCACTTAAAAATTCACGGAGATGTTAATGTTTAAAATCGGGAGCATATTTAACGCGTTCCAAGCTATCTTTGCATTTTCCAAAATTCATTTTTTGGGTATTTTCATCTCATTTTGCAGATTTTCTGCTCATTTTTCGCAAAATATAAGAAAACTTTTAAAAAATGTTTGAAGTGCTTTAAACTATCTGCAAAATAAGTCGAAGGAAATGATATTTGAGAGAAAAGCAACATGCAAAATCACACTTAAAGCGCGAAAACTGTTTCCATACAAAAACCTGTCAACATAAACAATCATTTTCATAAAATCTTGCTGACCATCAATTTTTGTCTGCAAAAATAGAGGATGCGGACTAGCAAAAATTACGAATATGCAAATTACAATACATTATCTTGGAAATGCGAAGATCTAGATACACCTTAAGCAGCATAAATTTTTGTGAGATGCTCCAATTGAAATATACAAAAACATTACAACTGCAGAGACTGATAGTCGAAAGTATCAGAAATTCTGATACCTTTGAAATCCTCTATACCTCAAATATAAGTTCTTTGAATGTTTGCATGGCGATAAAATATAATTGTTTTTGTTTGTGGAAACACCACGTAAATTTATTAGCACTGATGAAGATCCGGGCTTACGGATCGAAAGCTTTGCAGTAATAAATTTACGTGGTGTTTCCACAAACAAAAACAATTATCTCAAATATACTTAAAACTGCAGAGACTGATAGTCGAAAGTATCAGAAATTCTGATACCTTTGAAATCCTCTATACCTCAAATATCAATAAAACTACAGAGACTGATAGTCGAAAGTATCAGAAATTCTGATACCTTTGAAATCCTCTATACCTCAAATATCATTAAAACTGCAGAGACTGGTAGTCCGAAGTATCAGAATTTCTGATACTTTTGAAATCCTTAATATCGCAAATATACCTAAAATTGCAGAAATTGGTAGTCGAAAGTATCAAAAATTCTGATACTTTTGAAATCCTCTAGAGATATCTCAAATATACTTAAATTTGCAGAGACTGGTGTTCCAAATTATCAGAAATAAGCCATTTATATCTCAAATGTACCTAAAACTGCAGAGACTGGTAGTCCAAAGTATAAAAAGTCTGATACTTTTCAATTAATTAATTTAATTTAATTTATTAGCTTTGCCTTGTAAATAATTATAATACAATTGATGGCAAGGAGTCCGCAACAGCGCTTAGCCAATTACTACGGCCTCAATATTTAAACCATTTATATCGCAGATGTACTTAAAACTGCATAGACTATGATTTCTGATACTTTCGTACATATCAGAATTTCTGATACTTTTGAAATCCTTAATATCGCAAATATACCTAAAATTGCAGAAATTGGTAGTCGAAAGTATCAAAAATTCTGATACTTTTGAAATCCTCTAGAGATATCTCAAATATACTTAAATTTGCAGAGACTGGTGTTCCAAATTATCAGAAATAAGCCATTTATATCTCAAATGTACCTAAAACTGCAGAGACTGGTAGTCCAAAGTATAAAAAGTCTGATACTTTTCAATTAATTAATTTAATTTAATTTATTAGCTTTGCCTTGTAAATAATTATAATACAATTGATGGCAAGGAGTCCGCAACAGCGCTTAGCCAATTACTACGGCCTCAATATTTAAACCATTTATATCGCAGATGTACTTAAAACTGCATAGACTATGATTTCTGATACTTTCGTACATATCAGAATTTCTGATACTTTTGAAATCCTTAATATCGCAAATATACCTAAAATTGCAGAAATTGGTAGTCGAAAGTATCAAAAATTCTGATACTTTTGAAATCCTCTAGAGATATCTCAAATATACTTAAATTTGCAGAGACTGGTGTTCCAAATTATCAGAAATAAGCCATTTATATCTCAAATGTACCTAAAACTGCAGAGACTGGTAGTCCAAAGTATAAAAAGTCTGATACTTTTCAATTAATTAATTTAATTTAATTTATTAGCTTTGCCTTGTAAATAATTATAATACAATTGATGGCAAGGAGTCCGCAACAGCGCTTAGCCAATTACTACGGCCTCAATATTTAAACCATTTATATCGCAGATGTACTTAAAACTGCATAGACTATGATTTCTGATACTTTCGTACATATCAGAATTTCTGATACTTTTGAAATCCTTAATATCGCAAATATACCTAAAATTGCAGAAATTGGTAGTCGAAAGTATCAAAAATTCTGATACTTTTGAAATCCTCTAGAGATATCTCAAATATACTTAAATTTGCAGAGACTGGTGTTCCAAATTATCAGAAATAAGCCATTTATATCTCAAATGTACCTAAAACTGCAGAGACTGGTAGTCCAAAGTATAAAAAGTCTGATACTTTTCAATTAATTAATTTAATTTAATTTATTAGCTTTGCCTTGTAAATAATTATAATACAATTGATGGCAAGGAGTCCGCAACAGCGCTTAGCCAATTACTACGGCCTCAATATTTAAACCATTTATATCGCAGATGTACTTAAAACTGCATAGACTATGATTTCTGATACTTTCGTACATACGAAACAGACTGTTTACAGTACGTATAATACCAATTTCACTTGTTTGTATTCTCCTTCCGCCAACGCTTGAGGAATCTGCGAGTGTTTTCCTGAAGCTTTCCACTTTAGTCGAAAAGAAAGTTGCATACAATAATAGACCGCTTTGGCAAGGTATCGCTCCACGGTATTTTTTCCTTATTCCTTGTTAGAAGGTGGGGTTGCCATGATTTTGTATACGATCCTTGCCAATATTCCAGTTCAATCTCGTCCTCTCTTACTTCAGAAACTTTGCCAATCACAGGAAAAGTCTTGTAATTAGCAATGTTGACAGCAACAAATGCTCCTGGCGCCAGATTGTGTAGGTAGTCATCGCTTTGCGTCACTCCACGTGCAGCATGAGGCAGATAACGTCCTGTATAAATCTAAAACCAGAAATTAACAAATAGTTATTTTTGCATATTGCCCGTGTTATATATTCCGCATTATGAAGGGAAATATTATACTCCATTGCTAGGTTGTTTGTTGTCATAACGATCCTTTTTATGAGTTCATAAAATGATTGTTTTATATTAATGCTTGACAGTCACAGAATGATTGTATATGCTGTACAATTACCTAACGACAAGCCAGCATTTTCCATCAGTAATTACTGTCAATCCAAGTGCGAATTTTTTCAAGTGACAGACAGATAAGTACGGATTTTATTTTTAATACTGTGACTGGAAATTGGGGCTGCATACATGTATTTCATTATGTATTATATACCTCTTCAAGTGGGGCTGCTTCCTTTTCCCTGAAATAAAGGTTCACCGTGGGTTGTTCAATAGATTGTCCTTCGTTCCCAGGTCGTTTATATCGATTCTTGAGAATGGACATTGGACACAATTCCTCACCGGGTTGGATAGATTTATCCTGGTCGGCCGTTTCAAGATATTGTTTCCAAAACTGTATCGCTGTATTGGGCATGCTGGGTACCATTTGTTCATATCAGCCCTGAGCTTTGGAAAGTCAGCCTTGGTAAAGTCATTGGGAAACAACATCGGTATATCATCGGGGACGGTCTATAAAGAGTAACGTTTCTTGATGTTCAGAAGTTCACGCGTCTTCTTTTTTGTACTGTGTTTAAACTAAACATATTCGATCGGCGTACCGGGTCAATATTCAATACAACCTTCTGGAAAGTACGTCACCTTTGCTATTCGGTCTCGTTTTCGTGATTGCGATGTTGGGCTTTAGCTTATATCGTGTACACGAAAAAGAGATTACATAGCCAAAGTAACGGGCTTTCCGGAAGAGTGTATTATGTTCAAATAAGTAATCGAAATGTATATAATTGGCAAACAAACCAAAATAGAACGGCTATGCTAGTGCAGCAGCATGAAACAGCAAAAATAGCAGTCGGAATGGATGTATTGGCTTGCTTCAGGGTTCTTTAACCAAAATTTAAACTTGCTGACAAACATGCATGTATGTCCACAGATATTTAAGGGTTAGAGACCCATGTGAGTGTTTTGTTTACAAATACATGCACGAGCTGACTGTACAATGAACGAGAAATTTTCAGTACTGAACAAGGCGAAGCCGAGTTAAGTATTGAAAATTTCGAGTTCATTGTACAGTCAGCAAGTGCATGTATTTGTAAACAAAACACGAACTTAAAGTCTCTAACCCATTTAATATATTATCCGAGTTCACTGCTTGCATGCAATTACTGTACGCCTTTGGTAAACAAAGCAAAACAAAACAAAATTAAATTAAACTAAATTAAAACAAAGCAATTCCAGTTTGGAAAAGAACATTTACTACATATTTTCATCATAAGTTTTTACCAATAGTCTAATTTTAAGTACATTGCAAAATAATTGCGTACAACTGTTTTTAAAACAAGACAGCGAATACAATGTAAAACCCGACTAGACTTTTTAAGCAAGAATTTTACACGCGACAAAATCATGAAGAGTTTCGTTTATTTACCTTGTTGCACCAGTTTGTTTGGCTTTTTATACTTTTAGACATTGCACTATCTACAATTTGATTAATTTCGTCTTCACTGACTCGTGTAAACCTTGAACCGACAGCCTTGCGGGAAGCTATTTTCAATAATGCACGTTTTTTATGCGTTATTGTCAATAACGCACTCGCCGAATTCGTTGTTGCCAGGTAACAAAAACACACGTGATCGATTTTGACCAATGGCGTGCGTGTATTTTGTACAGTGAACGAAGATTATATATTAAATGTTGATAAATACCAGTGCAAAACTGCAAATAGGGCGAAGAGGCTTTATTACATTTCAAACACTTGAAGTGTGAGGAATCTCCTGGGAGATGTAAAAGGATGATGTTGAAACATTCATTTTCGCAACGTGGAGCTATCATTCTTTCCCAAACAACATCACGCGTTGATCTTTCTTGTATTTAAGATGTCCATAACATATTAAATTTAACTAACATTGCACATGATTTCAATGACTATACTGCATATACAGCACTTTCATTCTTGTAAACAATGCAACGCACGTGGAAATAATATATTATGTATGATAAACTATCATGCAGAAAATATAATAAACTATCAATGATGTACACCCATTGACGTTTAAACATGATGCATTAACCGTTTCGCAGGTTGTTTTACATCTGAAATAGCTTGCGTTTGTGCAAATTATTTCCAAGTTTGGGCCCCAAATATCCACGTTTTGATCAATGAAACCCATTTGTTCACGTGAAACAAGCGCGATGATAGAGGATTTCAAAGGTATCAGAATTTCTGATACTTTCGACTATCAGTCTCTGCAGTTTTAAGTATATTTGAGATATAGGGGATTTCAAAGGTATCAGAATTTCTGATACTTTGGACTGCCAGTCTTTGCAGTTTTAATGATATTTGAGGTATAGAGGATTTCAAAGGTATCAGAATTTCTGATACCTTGGACGTCTAGTTTTGGCGATGTCTGCTTAAGAGTGTTTAAACTATATAGAAAAGATTGTATGATACTTTTGTATATTTCCAACCCAATGGAGTGTTGCAGATTTCGTTATTTATCCAAGGTGTTTTTGAAATGGTAAGATATTGTCGCATGCATTGCAAATATTACTATTTTTACAGAGGCGGTATTTTTATCTGCAAAATTAGACTCTTTTGATTAAATGGTTTTTGGTGTCAGCAAAATTTTGTAAATAAGGCTGTTTTTGTCGAAAAAATATTATTTTGGAAAATGCAAAGATAGTTTGGAACGCGTTATTTCTGGATGTGTCTGAAATATGAAAAAAACGGCGTATCAAATATTAATCAAGATTTGCCCGACTGAAACATGCACTATTACCAGTAAATAAATGAGACTTGACAAATTGTTTATTATGAAACAAAGTATTATTATATCTACAAAATACAAGCAAGATTTATTTGTCCGAAATCCGCGTGTGTTCCTATCACGAATACTTTTCCCTATTTCATGAGACCCCTGCATCGCGAAGGATTATCATGGATCGTTCGTAGTTCTGAATTAGGGCATGCTGTCACAATGGAATGGTGAAGCTCTTCTAACTTCTGCAACGTTCTGAAATCTTGTTAACAACACCCAAAATCTTTTGCTTTTTCTTAGTCTTGGCAAGTTCAGAATAAACTGAAAATGAAACACAATCAAGCCATACAATTCCATAAGACATAACAAGCAACTCCCCGGAGACATCCAACATTTTTGGAACAAACCGTAATAAAATAGTAGCGTTGATACTGTGATGTGTATTTGCAATAGGCAATATTATTTCCTTCATTAAAGAACAATATTCATCATGCTCTAACCGAGAAATAATGAACTCTGTTTTGAACCTATGAGGTTCAGCGCTTGCCTTGCATGGCCTTTCATATACCTTTAAGTTTGTAAAGACCTATTAAATACCTGCGTAATTTCGAACGTTCATATTTCAAGAAACAATCGGCTAAGACTTACATGTAAGATGTCTAAATCAACGCCATATCCCTTACAAACCCTAACGACAATTCACTGAAATACAAGTTAGCCCGATATGTCATTAAGCAAACAAACGCTGGAATTAATATTTGATATGCCGATTTTTGCTAATTTTAAACACATCCCAAATATGCTCCCGATTTTGAACATTAATATATCCGTGAATTTAAAGTAAAATACAACTGTGATCAATCAAAATCTAAGTTGGTCCTTCCTCTATTTAATGCAAGTTATTTCTGTTCGATAAATTTACTTGTTTAGAAGTTGTTATAAATCAAACCGTAGTATTTTTTTTTTGAGACACCCGGTATATATATATATATATATATATATATATATATATATATATATATATATATATATATATATATATATATATATATATATATATGCGTAAACAGAAAGATAAAGTCTGCCGCGGCTGGGTCTTCAACCCGCGACCTTCGAATTACTAGATCGACGCTCTACCAACTGAGCTACACGGTCAGACGGATTTAAGACTGGAAATTATGAACATATGAACATATTACGGAGTGTACAATTACACAACTCAACATAACACTTGCAGCAGGGGCGTAGGAACCGGGGGGGCCAGGGGGGCCATGGCCCCCCCAAGTTTTGGCAAGTGCCCTTTTTACAGGAGCAAA